TCTTCCTTCCCAGCTCTTTCCAAGACGGACGGTGCGAGAACTGGCATCTCGATGCCCTACTCTCACATGCCCCCAGTTACTGGCTCAATGGCTCAAGGTAGCGCCTTCTCCAGCACTGGCTTTTCTGCGACGGATTTGCTAAGTTACCCTCAAGACATGCCGCGCCCCAATTACGGCGAGCAAGCCTATTCTTCGCCAGCGGTAACATCGGCCTCGTATGCGCCGTCGTACTCTTCCCTCAGCTACGCCCAGTCTATGCACCAACAGCAGCAACAGCAGCAACAACAGCAACATAGGAAATTGTCAGACACGTGAGTTCACCTTTGTAATTTTCGGGGTTCGGGGTGGTTCTAATCGTTGGAATAGGATTGACACTTCTCGTGCCGCAAATGCTAGTTTTGGAGAATTGGATGCCTCTCGTGGCATGTTGGCTCTCAGCCACCAAAATCTGCAAGACCTGACCCCCCGGAACATCTACGAGGCTCGAGCCCAGAGAGCGTCTGCAGACTCCTACGGGTTTCCGCAAGCCTCATCGTCCCATTCATCCATTTCGACCGAATCTGGTCGCGGATACGCCTATTACGCGCCCAGCTCTGTCGGTTCTGTGACCGATTCTGCGACAGACTATAGCTCCGCAGCATCTGACGCCGGGTACGAGTCCATGGCAGCTTCTCGAACATTGCCTCGCCCTAATCAGCTGTTGGGCCCTCCTCTGGGACCTCCTGCTCCCCAGTCAATGATGGGTCAATTCTCTTCCAAGATGGCTGCCAACACTCAGAAGAAGCACAAATGCAAGGTCTGCGACAAACGGTTCACCCGACCGAGCTCCTTACAGACACACATGTACAGCCACACAGGTGAAAAGCCCTTTGCGTGTGACGTCGAAGGTTGCGGGCGTCACTTCTCCGTTGTTTCCAACTTGCGCCGGCACAAAAAGGTGCACAAAGGCGATTCGATGTCCAGCGCCAGCCATTCGGATATTGAGGAGTAATTGATGCGTTCGACTGGAGGGGATCTCGAAATTCCCAATACGCTCACATCGGCGACCCTTTACCGATGACGACCTTGGCACGCCTGGCCAGGTGCATCGTTTCATTTCCCTTGCTCCATGTACATTATTATCGGGTGTTGCGTGACGGAGCCGCACGACGCCAGTGTACAACAACCAAAAGGAATGGGTGATAGAAGGGATGGGATTCAAAAGCCTGGTGCAGGCGACTAACGTGGCAACTGGCGGCAAGATCATGCCATGACTATTCGATTCACGACCTTCGTTTACAGTACACCGTTTATTATGATGACCTGATACCCAGAGATGATGGCTTTTTTCTATGAAGATTCTTGTTTTTGTTGTCTACAAGCGTGTCTCGAATGTTGGAGGATGGATCAGTATACAGGGTTATCGGCTGTGATTGGGAAACAGGAAACCTTTTGCCTACCCAAGCTGATTACAAGTCCCTGTGTGGCGATCTTGGGAATGTCCTAATTTACCGACACGAGGGACGGGTTGGACTAATCCCTCCTTTGGAAGGGTTTGGTGGTGGGAGTCCAACGGCCTTGACAGCTGCTTCAAGTGCGAAAGCGGTGTGAACAGTTGGGGCCATCGACCGTGTGGTGTGTTTGTGTGCTTATGCAGACTATTTGGAGAAAGTTGGGGCTAGCGAGACAGAAGCAAGTCAACAAGCAGCATTAGGAAGCTAGAGGTCTAATGCAGAAGATGCTATCATTAACCATGTGTGCTTGTCATATGCGTCGCACTGGGTGAGTTTTGACTGGAACTCAGGTTATTGCGTCGGATTCTTGCCGTCAACATTGGCCCCCAGACGATGATGATGGAGTTGGAATCCTCTCATTCTGTAGTATGCAGCCACCGTGTCACGTGTTGTCTGTTTGAGCTGTTTGTGTTGCCTGTGGCAGGCCCATGACATCATCGCTACCCAAGTCTGTTTCGACGTCAATGGACAGTCAGTTTTAATCTTGACACCATCTTTCATAAGAGTTTCCTGAGCTGGAAAGCCAGAAAAAGCCCACTTGGTCATGTTCGCATCTGTCTCACCTCTGAGCTGAGACTGGATCGTGTCTCGTGCTTGTGACATTCCACAACAGCCAGCTCCCTCGCTCGTTCAACCAAAACCGCCCGAACCCCGCGGTATCACTGGCATCGGTTGCACACCTCCAAGTGGATCAGGTAGCTCGAGCCATTGGCGTCAGTGGCGTCGGTCCCCATCTCTGATTGCCTGAATCCTGACTTCCCAGCCGCCTCCACTCACCCTCCATCTCATCTTTTTCCGAAAGCACAGACCATCGGGCCACCTCGCTGCCACCTGCCAACCACTGACGAGCTTTCCGCCGCCGCCGCCCACCTCATTCTGCAATCCCACACCCGCAACGCACCTGGTGGTTGACATTTTAACCTCCTTAAATGGGCATTTAGGCATTCCTTTCAACTCGGCTGCTAGGCTGACCCTGTTGGCATCCAGCGCACACCGCAGGCCTTTCATCACCGACGACATAATTGGGTATCGGACCTTACTATGTACTCCTCCTCCCTTGGCGACGATGTAATCTCACATGCGACCCGTTACGCCGATGATGCATTATTCCATCATGATGGTAAACATGGCCTACGCATACACCATGCTCTAATCTGAGCAGACCTCTAAAAGTTGCAGTCACCGCTGCCAGGGTCCATCGGGCCCCCAATTCTACCGCAGTCCCCTCCTACAGGCTCTTGACTTTGCCGCCGATGTTGTGAATCCATTTCCCTTTTTCTCAGACAACCGAGAACTGGGAGGATGTCAAACTGAAAGCTCCACAATGTCCCCTCCAATTCCACCATGCCATGACATAGCCTTTCCGGTGCATTGCAAGCCGAATCTTGGGCACTTTGACGGTGTACAATTTTGAAGATCGCACTGACGTGGAGCTCGCTTGGGCGTGTCAACACAAAAGACAGATTTCCTCTGATGACCTGTGACGACGGACAGTCTATCGATATGAGAATAGATGGGTAGGTCGAAGATCGTGAAACAAGCGACTCCATGATGACCATTTAACCTTTCTCGCGAGACGCGCCGTTGTCACAATAACTGATCGGAGAGGGAATGATCGACACAAATTGAGGCAAATGATTGCCTCGGCTCCTGATCTAGGTGTACGGGATAATATGAGCGTCATCAGTGTTTTTTTATCGTGCAAAGTATGGATATGGTCATTGTTGAGTTTGGCTCTGGATTTTGGCTACTGAGGCTTGGTGCAAGGGAACCGTCACAATGCGCAAGATGGGGAGTCTAGAGACAACAAAGAGGTGCATGACATGACTTGTTGATGGATACTGTCATGTTGTTCAGGGGAAGGGTGGAATGAGCATCGGGTTCTTTCTGATGGAATCTGGATATCAATTCCACTCATCTTGTCCGGAGTTACAATTCTTTTTGTATGCTGTGCTGTGCTGATCTGACGTGAAAGGGGAATCTACCATCTCTCCCGCGCCCTCTCTCTCCTCCTTCTCCTTTACCTACTCACAGGTTCCCAACTCCTGGATCATGAACCCAATCCAATCTTCCGCTCAGTTGGTCAGATCAGGTCAGGCAGGGAGGGAGGGGGTGGTATGGAGGGAGGGAGCGAGGAAAAGGGATTCTCAGTGCTTGCATATCCGGAAACTTTCTTTCCCCTTTTTTCTATCTATCTACGCATTACGTCTAACGTGATATGTATACTCTTCTCCTTTATTCCTTTCTGGCCTTTGCCTTTCTTATGTCTTTGCTCTCTCTATCTCTCGCCCACTACGGCGCTTGCGAAAATCCTTTTTCTTTTTTTTTTCTCCTCCTTTCGCGAGCCACGGATCCAGGATAATGCGATAGGCATGTACGAGGTATGAGGTATTCAGTGTTCGCTGTTGGCTGTTGACTCCTGACGGTTGGCTTTTTGGTCTTTCGTATTTGACCTTTGACAAACAAGGCTGCGCGAACCTCGAGAATCCAGCTGGCTAGAAAGCTAGCTAGCTAGCCTCAAGGACAAAGCCGCGACAGACGACAGGCAACAGACGACAGGCAACAGACGACAGGCGATGTAAGCAAGTCTGTCCTTTTCGCTTTGTGTGTGTGTGTGCGTGTGGTGCGTGTGGTGTGCGGTGTTGTGTATATCCCAACATCCCCTCCCCCCTGTTCCTGGCTAGGCTATGGAAGTCCAAGAGATCGTGCCAGAGATCTGGACTCTGGAGTTGCATTGAATCGTTGTCGTCGGCGTTGGCGCCTTCGTCTTCTGGTGTCTGGTGTCTGGTGTCTGGTGTCTGGTGTCTGGTGTCTTGCCTTCATCAGTCTATATACATGGACAGATGAATAGAGGGTGGCGCATAGGTATCCAGTACGTACACAGGAACACAGGTTACACAGGTCTAGAGGGGAAGGGAAGAGGAAGATGCGCGTGCCATGAGTTTTGCTAGTTAGATAGCTGTGCTAATGTCCTCTCCAGTCCAGTCCAGTCCGTCCCGTTCTAGTCTACGTACGAGGCATTCATCTCAGGTTCTGTAGCTCGTCAGCGCCGTCAGTTCGGTGAGTCCCAGGCCAGTCCAGTGCACTTCTCTGTGCCATGCTGCGTCGTGATGTGCAGGTTCAGCTACGATACGGTTTGAGGGTCAGGCTTTGGCAGGTACCTCCTGGTTCCTTAAGCAAAGGAGTGTGGTGACATGCGTGGCTTGGACTGCGGGTTTCTGTCTGAAAATTCCATGTATGCGGATTCTCATGTAGAGAAGAGAGACAACTCCTGCTCACTCAGGAACAGAATCTACCGACGGCCGATACAGTCTGCTTCAGTCCCTCCCATCTATCTATCCATCCATCCATCCATCCATCCATCCATCCATCCATCCATCCATCCATCCATCCATCCATCCATCCACCCACCCACCCACTCAGGAGACTCTCCATAGAATGGATGACCAAAGGACTTTCTCTACTCCGATGTCTGTGGCCTAACCTGTGGCGCACGCCGCACTCGCCTCATCCAAAAACCCGTGGCATGTTGGCCTGCACTCCGCTCAAACCACCAAAACACGCCGAAAGCTCCGTAGCCATGGACAACTGGATTTGGCTCTCGTCAGCCATCACTTCGTCTTCATCCAGTGCCGCCAACATTCTGACGTCCCGCATGTCTCTGGGCGTGCTTTCGCGGTGGAAGTGGCCATGATGAACGACCCGGTGACCTTGCTCGGTCCTAGTGGTCAGAGTCGTGGGTATGTCGTCCCACTGACAGACCAACGACCGGTGCAATACCTGGTCGCAAACATCTTTCTGGGTATCAGTGGCTAGGAAGTCTTCCGGGCGGTTGTTGATGGGATTCGCCTGCGTGGGGTCTTGATGGAGTGGACATTTGCGGTTTGCTTGGATAGCCTGTATAAACGTCACACTGCTTAGCCCATATGTCTATCTCCCCAACTCGGGCCACTAGGACGAAAACTTCTCATACCTGTTCCACGTTGCTCTGTACACAAGTGCTACATCTCAGTCCATCGGGACACTTTCGACAGCCGATCACAAATTGGTAGTGGACACAGATCCCCAGGCTGCGACACTTCTGCCGGCAGGGGTATTGGACAAAGAAAATACATGGAACCACCATCTGGAGAGAGATCTGCCGCGCCTCCGGCAATGGAGGACGTCTGAGCACCACGGGAGGTGTGAATGAGATATCTTCTGGTTTGACCATGTGGAATACCTGACCTTGCGGGTGATCCAAACTGCGAATAAAGAACGCGGCCGTCCGAGGCAGCTGTTGTATGGCCGCAACCTGCGGCTGTTTGTCTCCTACTGTCAAACTTGAGCTACGGGGCATGCCCGAGATCGCATACCTCGACGCCATCCTTGGCTGCCTTGTCCCAAGAAGGAACTCGTCCGATAGATGTTGAGCTAGGCAGGAGGCGATTTGCTGACGGTATCTCTGTTCGTAAATAGTAGGCAAATCTGCGATGTTCAATGTTCTTACAGAGCAGTACTTAAACCATGGCCTTTACTTCGCAATAGTGACGTATCACAAGAGAGAGTAAATATTCGGGCCGAGAGGACATGGAACTGGTGCATGGGCCTTCACCCAGTGCATGCCACACGCAGAGAGATGAAGACTCAAAGGCCCGGACTCGCCATGCTCTTCACCGTAACCCACGTCGACAAACGGCCCCTTGAACCCCCGCAAAGATATTCAGTCATGACCTCGTGTACCAGTCACGCATTACTGGTCCACGAAGCTCTCGAGAGGACAGCTTGCGCTAGAAGGAGAGTAGACATTCAAGGGTACTTTGTCCAAGGCAGAACCCGAGGCAGATGGACCATCACGGTGGAACTGCAATCATCTTGCAGTGACAGTAGGGCGAAGGAACAGATCCTCGGAGGACTTTGATCCGTGGATAAGCGGCCCTACTTGGGATCTGTGTCGATATGGGCTTGAGGATGGTGGTGCGCTCTGCGCTTCAGAGGAGGCTGGTGGAAGCTGCGGTGGTTAATCCTCGCAAAGGTGGGCGCGTTCTCGACTGTTCCTATCCGTACGGGTCATAAAGAACAAGGGTGGGCGAGCAATTCGTGTTCTGAATGTGTCTCGTGCAGTAGTTGCAGTAGTCTAGCACATCGAGCCTGTCGTCCTGCATAGTCGGCTGTCAACGGAGTCTCAAAGGTTTTTGTGGCGTCGAATGCGGCTGCCAATCAGCGCTGCCGCTCATTCATCCCAGCGTATCTACATACTCTTCGACAGCCTCACCCTGAGACTCACCACCCTGGCAGCCTGGCCTGCCAAAAGTTGCTACACAAATCGAGAATCATGGTTTCTATTTCAGGTGCCCCATCTTGGTACTTAGGTCGACCACACCCTCCGTGGTCGCGGCCGTCCCCTCTGCCCGCTACTCTTCCTGACGATGGATGACTACCTGCTGCCACCACTATCCCCAAGGGTTGGGTGGGACCATCAGACTGGAAGCATGGCTCTGATCTCTCAATCTGCCATACACATGTGCGATGACTCTGGAGATTTTGCGATTGAGTCCAACGAAGATACGGATGTACATGTCGCAGCTCCTCTCGACAGATCGCCGGACTTCGTTGTCAACCAGCAAAAAGTCCTCAAAGACTTCGCCCCATCTTCAGTCCAATCACAGACACCGAATTCATTGCCTCTACGACTGCGCAGGCCGGTCATACCATCGACCGTCTGGGAGAGGTTAAGGCCTTTCATCCACGATCTGTATATCGGCCAGCAGCTAAGCCTAGATGAAGTGCGACAGAGAATGAAGGAGCAGCATAATTTTGATGCCACGTATGTGAGCAAAGCAGTCAGGCTTGGAATGAGGCTGATATCGATAGTGAACAAATGTACAAGAAACGGCTACGGGACTGGGACCTGCGGAAGAACTATACCCAACCGCAGAAGCTAGATGCCATCAAACAGCTGTGCGAAGCCCCATCCGAGACCTGTGCCAACTTGTCCTTGTATGTGAATGGTGTGCCTCTCAAGGAACGTCGGCTATGGCGCCCTGTCATGCAGAAAAGGAAGCCTGTCGTCCTTGCTCCTCGACCATCTACGGTCTGCAGGAAAAATCCACGTTCGCGGCTCCCAGTACGCCTGCGCACACCTTCACCACAGCGGGTTCAGCTCCAACTCGGTTCTGAGACTCAAAATATCGAATCTTTGCTGGGACATGCCTCTTCATATTATTCATGGTATCTAGTCAAGGGCCCGATCAAGGCCGATTATGGGACTCCCCAGCAGCTTTCTCAAGTTTTCAATCAGCTGAGGAGGGGCTTTTCTCTTCTTCGCAGAAACGACTCCATGGCGTTTGGCCTTATGGATCAATCCTGCTCTGGCTTTCATGCTCTCCTGAAATCCCAACCGTTTCGGCTGTTACCGGAGGTCATTTTTACACTCAAATATCTTCACCATATCGGCAGCAAGTACTGGGAGATAGGTCTGTCGGTCCTGAGATTCTTTGCTTCATTGGCGAACACAACCTTGGGTGGGTCCCATCCCATAACCAATTTCGCGACTCTTCTCCTGAAGATCGACCAGGAACATCTGGGTTCATGCTTGGGACTATATGCAGAACTCCTGCTTGACCAAACGAGATCAGTTCGCGACGACTCTGTCTGTATGAAAATACAATTGACCATAATTGACATTTTTATAGCGTCCGGCCAAATTGATGTCGAATCTTGCTTGGTTCGACGTCTGTCGTACGCAATTGACCTCACTAATTCAGTCCTGACTGCAGAGCGCGAATGTCTTATGAACGCGACGGTTAACTTGCCAGCATATGAAGGAGAGTACTTGACAGTCGAGAAATTTCTCATGCAGATGCTCAGCAGGAGTATTGTCGTCAACGGCAAACAGAATGGCGACTTTCCCAGCATTTTTGCCTGTGCGTACCTGGAAAAGCTCTACGCTCACATGAAATCGCCGGTTGAGAGTGAGAAATTCTTCCGATTAGCACTCGAAGGGGCTGTGCAAGACAGCCGCTTTGAAATTCTGGCCTTGTTAGACAACTGGGAAGATGTACTTTTGTCTTTCAAAAAGAACAAAGAGGCCGCCCAGCCAGGATTGACTACCAGCACGTTTGGGCGCCATTGAATGGGTGGAGGGTCGATCTTAGTTTTTGAAGGACAGACAGATTTCATCCAAAGCCACGGATGACTGTCCTTGATTCTTCTTTTTCGTCCCTCCTCCCAACATCCGATCACTCTGGCGCAGAGCGAGAAAGCAGGAAAGAACAGGGGCAAGGGCCAGGGGTCTAGGTGAAAGAGGATTGGAACAACTGCGGTTTGTATCACATCTGGCGGAGGTGGGGGAGAGACGAGCAACGGTCAGACCCCCCTCCCGCGACCGATACCGACATGGACGGACGAGGACTTCGAATGTTGGAGGCTGATGTGGGCGCTAACATTGACATCGACGTTGTCATGAACTTGCCTTGCCTTGCTATGGCGAAGGGTATTGGGATGAAGGAAATCAGAGTCACACGGCCCAGCGCACGGGAGTCCCGTATTACGGGAGGGAAACCCTCCTGACCAGACCGTTAGGACTCCCAGATTACAGCCTATCTGCCTTCTTCTTTTCTACCAAGTTACTCTCTCTCTCTAGTTAGTTGTAGCGACGAGGCCGAAACATGAAACGAGTTGAATCTGAAATTTCCATTTTTTTCAAAGGTGAGCAGGGAATAAATACATATGACTGACTGACGAGAACCCAAAGTAATTGGGCAAGTAGTCGAGTCAGTGAACGAGTGAGTGAGTGAGTGAGTGAAGACGTCAACCAAGTCCCTGCGGTTTCTTCCCTCCTTGGTCCTCAGGGACTTCTTCGCGATCACCCAAGGCCGTGATAGACAGATAGATCATAAAAGTTCTCGTGGACGCCGCAGGCTCTCGGGGAGGCGAGAGAGACGTAAAGCCAAACGGCCGAGATATGGGCCAACAGCAACAATCAACCACTGTCATAGTACGATTGGACAGCAGCCGCCACGTTCATACTTTCTCCCAAATGCCGCTCTCGCTGCCCAACGACTGAAAGCCCCATCCCGAGGCTGAAGCGGAAGGGGAGGCTGACACTGAAAGTGGATGTCCTGCTAAGGACGAGCTACCACCACCAGCAGGAGTCTCGACTCCACTGGCACTCGCGCTGCCACTTGCATCATATCGTACCGACTTGTGCATTTCATCCGCAGACCGCGAAGCTGTCTTCCTTCGATTCCATCCCATCATCAACCCCACCAGGCCACCAGGCATCAACTTGCCTACATAATCGTAAATCTTCGCACCACTGCCGACGAAAATGACGTTTGGTCTTGTATTTGAAGTGAATTCTAAGGAGCTGAACCCAAATGGTCTATATGTCTGTGGCGGAGCAAGAGCATCGAAGACTGCGTTGTGAAACTCTCTGGCCGAGGAGCCTCGGATGAAACTTCTCTGGCCCAGTGACTTGCGTTGATGAGCGGCACGTTGCGACGAGTGCCAGTGAGAGCTGTTATGCGTAAGCGCTGACGACGGACCAGCGTGGAGGGTCGATTGTGTTGGAGTCGTCCTTGACCAGGAGGTGACAGAGCCCATATCAAAATTTCCCAATTTAAGTTCCGAGACAGTGATGTTTGCGTTTGCTGCAGTGATCTCTCGCCGTAGCGAGGCTGCAAGCGCTGAGAGGGACGACGTAACTAGACATTCTGGGATTTGACGTGGTGGGGAAAGACTATGCGGGATCGACGGGTATGCAATGATGATGGACGAAGGCGATTTCGGATCAGGGCTGTGGTTCGCCAGTAGAGGGAGGAATTGTTGGACTGTCAAGAGAGGTGAGACAAGGCGGGTGTTGATCGTATCTACTATGTCGGATGGAGGGAGCAATGCTAGTGGTCCTTCGCTATAGCCTGAGCTACCGGGGAAGACGATGAGGCCAGCCAACGTCATGTTCCCCATCGAGGAACCTGAGCGGTGCGAGCTCCTGCTGGGTGATGAGGACCGAGATGACTTTGTCAGGAGGTCACGGATGGATTCCAGATTCGGATGCACGTCGATCGCAGGGTTCGGGACGGTGGAAGTTAAATCAATCCAGAGTGGGCGCAGGTCAGCCTTCGCTTCCTGTTGCACAAGAGAATCTTCCTCGGTGGAAGAGACGGTGATATAAACGACATAACCTCTCCGTTCAAGGTCAAGCGCCAATGAGCGTGTAAGTGCGTCGTGGAAGGTCGAGCCAGCGATGATGACAATCTCCTTTTTCGCGCCGTTGGGCAGTTTCTTCGCTCGTCTCTTTCTCGCATGTGCTTTCTTCCTGCGATGGATGAGGTATAGGGTGGTGCCGGCGAACGCCACCACTATGGCAATTGCGGTCCGGTTCCTGGAAACCCAAGCTGTGGTCTTCTGGAGGATACCGCGAGGTGGGGGAGGTGGGCGAGCAGAAAATGGACCTTGCCCTCCGCCCGGGTGGCGCGGAGGTCGAAGAGAGTCGGGAATCCAGCTTGCTCGGTCAATGGCGTCGCGGATGTCGTTGGCAAGGGCATTTGCGTGCTTGTCGACGTAGTCTGCTATGCGACTACCATAGTGGGCCATATCCTGTGGGATGGACGCAAGCTGAGGGAGGGGTTGTCAGTGATCATTGTCGCAGAGTGATGGTGGATGATGAGGATGGCTTACCAGGTCCAGGAATTGCTGGTCGTCACTCGTCATGATAGAGCTGGATAGTGGTACTGCTCTGTCATCAAGCTGTATCAGAAGTTGCTGGTCCTTTGGCCGGTGAACAAATTGACGGTCGAGAGTTGGCCCTCAGGTACAAGTACCGAGTATGCAGTCAGTCAGTCACGGCAGTCCACGCTGGCGGCGCGGGGAAGGACGTGGTCTGGCGCAGGCGAATCGTAGGGGACGAATTTCCACATGCGTGCCCATTCGGTGGAGGGTCACGTGGGGCTTCCTGTCGCCATCAGGCTGGGATACATTACGAATCCGTATTCTTCTCTCTTTCACACTATGAGCATCAAACAGTTTTCCTTCTGGCATATTCCGGCGGCGTCTTGAGGAGTCCCTGATAGCGTGCTACAGTCTTGTAGTTTTATCTTGTTTGTTCTCCCTTTTCTGCTCACCAATCCATCTGGCATTCACTAGGTTGTTGTGACAAACAAGTAGCACCCAGTGGCCATAGTCGAGTCAGGGGGCAGTCTACTCTAGCCGGGCTCGAACAGTGACTCTTCTACATCTCTGGTTTTTGATCATCCGGTCTTCCCCATACCCTCTTCTTTTCAGCAATCATCAAATCTGCACCTGAAGAAATGTCGTACGCACGCGGAACAGAACTCGACCCCTTGGTCGATCAATTCCAGCATTTGTCCACAAAATCTCGTGCAAATGAAGCCCTCCACATCCTCAAGAGGACAGCTTCTATTGTGAAACCCATTATGCGAATTCGCAACTGGCGTGTCGGAATGCTATGCGAATTCTTGCCTGAAGACCACTTCCTGCTAGGCCTGAACGTCAACCGTGGCGAAAAGATCTATCTCCGCTTACGCTACCCCGGAGACGATACACAATTCTTGCCGTTCGAGAACGTCGTGGATACCATGTTGCATGAGTTATGCCACATTGTCCACGGTCCACATGACCAGGCCTTCCACGCCTTGTGGGATAAACTCCGCGACGAGCATGAAACACTCCTCCGCAAGGGCTACACCGGCGAGGGATTTCTCGGCAAAGGAACTCGACTAGGAGGTCGTGGCATACCAAGAGCCGAGCTTCAACGACAAGCCCGTGCAGCGGCGGAGAGACGGCGGCAGGTGTCGGTCCTTTCGCAAGGCAGTGGAGGAAAGGTCGGCGGACAGGGCATCTTGCGAGGCCAGAACGCTCGAGAGATCATCGCTGCTGCTGCCGAGAAACGCAATCGCATCAGCCGAGGGTGTGGCAGCGCCGTGCCCGACATGGGCCGGAAGATAATGCAGGAGGAGGCTGTCAAAAAGGAGAAAGTCACCACCACCAAGGCCGACAAAGCGGAAGAGGACGAGGCGGCATTGATGCAGGCATACATTGACATGATCCAAGAAGAAGAGGCGCAGATGGTGGGCGCGGGATACGTCCCTCCCAGTCAGGATAATCCCACAGGAGGTGTCCGGAAGGGCAACAGTATCGTCCCTCCAGTTGACACGAGATCGCTGCGCGAAGAACAACTTCAGATTGAGCGGCAACTGCAACAACAACAGTCACGACCAGGCAAAGAGTATGAACCCGAGACGAAACCAAAAGCCACAAAACCAAACACTCCGCCTCTCAACCATCCGCCACCAGAACTGCCCCAGGACGAAGAAACATGGACCTGCGAAGTCTGCACCCTCATCAACCCAATCAACTACCTGCTGTGCGGAGCCTGCGAGACCGAGCGGCCAGCCACTTACTCGCAGTCGTCGACATCCAGTCCCACCAGCAGCTCGCATTTTGCCACCAGACCGACAAAATCTCAAGCCAACACCTCTCAATCGCGTTCGTCGTCCACCAATGCTCGCCCTCGCCATCCTTCCTCGGTCCTTGCCCCCCGCCTCGGCGCCGCCGATAACATTGCACGCTTCGAAGCGGCGGCCAAGGAGAAAGCCCAGACCAACCCCTTGGGCTGGACCTGCGGACGATGCGGCACGTGGATGGAAAACCAGTGGTGGACGTGCAGTGTGTGCGGACGGATGAAGGAGACTTCATGACCTCCCTCCCCCTTCTCCCCCAAACACGGGGCCCAAAAAGTCAAGGAATGCTCGAGAGGTCGAGAGAGATGTATCTGATATGTGTTACCAATCACCGGTGCCATAATACAAAGGGATACGCGGGACCACAACGAATCGGTGCGCAAGATGAACTGGATCGGACCCAGACGCAACCCGCACGGGATGTGATGTGGTATGACATGACATGATATCCATGCACAGCTGAGCAGAGCAGAAGAGATCTGCATAGAGCATTACGATAACGACGACGACAATGACAACGATAACGAACCCTCTTGTTGACTGAGCGTCATGACTTACTTTGCCGAATACTCTGATTTCCTTCCTTTGGTCTTCCTATTTCTTTCTTCATGGAGCAACGTCATGCCATGCCATGCTATACCATGCCACCAACTAACTACTCTAGCTATCCTCTACCTATCAAATGATACACATCGAGCTACAACGACAAGATGGACTCTCAGAACAAGCTGGCAGCTAGTAGGGGCGTTTGGTATATACCTACATTAGCTTGCCTAGGTGCTTGGGATAAACACATGATGGACACCCACTGAATATCGACAGTCGGGACCGCAGCACATTCAAATCATGGGTGAACCTATTCAGGGTGGAAATGTCTCATTCTATTCCACGGGTCGATAAGGGGTCGTGTCGGGATTTGTATGCCAGGTACTTGTACTTGCTTTGCTGTGCTATGTGGTATCTGAACGCATCATCCAACGAACATTAGGGAAAAACAAAAGCAGACAGCCATGATATTTCAATTCATCAATAGTTCCGAACTGCCGAAATATCGTCAACAAATCCGATCCTGAGAGCAACGTCCTCTCTGCGTTGCCGTAATCACTCGTCCGCAATCACTCGTTCCGCACACTCGATTCAAAGGGCCCGTGAGGACATAACCAAGGCAAAGTCTTTGCACTTGACGTGCGTTAACCAGTGTACCAGCTGCAAGGGATACCCGAGAGGACATATGTGACCCGTGTCATTAGTGATTGTTTTGCTCGAGATAACCAGATCGTGGGACGTGATTTCAGACGTGGATAATCTGCACCTTTCTAAGGTTCATCCTGGAAGAATCTGTTTTGCCATGATGGATCAGCTTTGCTTCTCTTGAACGGATAACTCGACGCTCGCTACAAAACAAGGGCTGTAGGACTTACCTCATGATGGCTTTGATGCCTCTAGAACCAAGACCGTGTGGGGGATAAGCAATCCAGATGGGATCCGCCACAGCACCCATCTTCTCTCGGAATTCAGACTTTCTGGCGAGGTTGAATTGTTTGACAATGGCATCGTATGTAGCCTGCAACATCTTCACCTTGGCACCGCTCATATGGTGGCCTGGTGTCAAGTGACTTGCAGCACCGCCGCCAAATGTGACGCTAGGCACACCAGCATTGGCAGCGGCGTTGAGCGCATGGGTGGTAATGTACTCAATTGTCCCCGACGGTGCTCCTGGGAAGTCCAAGGTGTACTTGGCTTGCCAACCTTTGCGAGGGGCAATTTCACACATGACTGCAATACCGCAGAGGACGCCGTCTTTGTCTTCGGCGACGAAGTAGCGTCGGTGCCTCTCGTCTCGGAAGAGATCAATGTTGGACAGATGGATCTGGGTACCTTTCCGGTTCGCCAACCAGTCCTTGACCCTGGCGTTGGCACGCTCTTTGATGCTCTCAGGAACAGGCTCTTTAGGGTCAAGGTCAATGATCTTGACGCCGTCATTCTGAGCCCTGCGAATCTTTCTAGCAACCTCCGGGTCAGACTCCGCGGTCTTCTTGTGAGGATCCACCCGCTCTTCGGCGACACAAGAGAGAGTTTTCCAGCCTAGTCTCTCACCAAGAACTTCCTCCAACTCCGGGCTAATCAACAGCCAGAGTGGCTTCAAGCGCGTCTCCCGCTTCAGCCATTGAAGGAAAGAGACGACAACGCGGTAATACTGGCTTGGGTGGCACAGGGGGTCGCCTGGGAGAATGGCGTAGTGGCCCTCAGGCACATAGCACACGGCAGCACCAGTATCCGCATGACGCCAGATTTGGTAACGTTCATCGCCCCAAGATGTAGATGTTGCATCTCCGTAGTTTGCAATGAGATCATAGAGATCGGGCATCTTCCGGTCTTGAACTGCCACTTCCCGCCCACGTTCTTGTTTCCAGACGGGGTTCAAAGTGTCTGCTTCGGGATGTCGAAGTTTCTCGACGGCGGGCTTCGCAGGGAATGACTTGGGATCTCTATGGAACAACGAGGCCAGTCGAATGTTGCCTAGCTTGAGGATAAGCATGACGATACGTTCGAGACCGACGCCACACCCAGCGTGGGGAGGAGCCCCCCATTTGAAGCCTTCCATGTACTCAGCCATGTCGTCAGGATCGATGCCAACCATGCGCATATTGGCTTCGAGCATCTTAGACTCATGGATACGTTGACCACCAGAAATGATTTCTTGTCCACGGACAAACACATCGAAAGAGTTGGTGTATCGGTCGTCATTTGCATCTGGCATGGTGTAGAAAGGACGAGCAGATCGCGGGAACTTGTCCAAGATATAGTAATCGGTCTTGTACTTCTCCTTCATAAGCTCACCGAGACGGATCTCGTCCCGGGTGGCGAGATCTTCAAGAGGTGAGACCGGTTCCCCGTCTTCATTCAACCAACCCGAGTCTGTAAGCAGCTGGACCGCGTCTTTGAACGGGATTCTAGGGGTTTCATCCAGCCAAACAAGATCCTCACTAGGGAACTGCTCTTTGACGAGCTCGACTTCTTTGCGGTACTTGGTGTAAATGCCCTTGAAAATGCTTTTGAGAGTATGATCAATGATATCCATCATCTCGTGATAGTTTTCCTCAATGGCCATTTCGAGATCGAGACCAGTATACTCGGTCAAATGACGATGGGTGTTGGAATTTTCAGCTCTGAAGACAGCGCCGATTTCGTAAACTCGCTCAAAATCAGATGCGATCGCCATCTGCTTGGCCAACTGAGGAGACTGGGCAAGGAAGGCAGGACGACCAAAGTAATTGACCTTGAACACCGAGGCACCGGACTCGGTCGCTGCGCCTTGGAGTTTGGGCGTGTGGATTTCTACAAAGCGTTGCTCGTCAAGGGAACACCTAAAGAGGTTTCCCACCGCGGCCTGGATGCGGAAGATGGATTGGGAAGTGGCAGTTCGCAAATCCATAATGCGATTTGCCAGTCTGACACGGTCGGGGATTTGACTCTGACGGCCATCGACTTTTTGGTCATCGTCGAGAATGGTCAACTCTGCCTCCTGGACAGAGAAAGGGACTAGGAACACAATTAGCAAGCCGTCAATTGACAGGATTCAGACAGGAACATACCAGGCTCTGCACGCTTGACGATGATGTGCAAGTCGGTCACCTTGACCTCCACGTTGTGTATAGAAGCAGACTTGACGGGTATCTGTGGCTTTTGAAGCACACCTTTCACAAGCATGATATTTCCTGTGCGCAGATGCTCGGCCCAATGGATCATGATAGCTGAGACTTTACCAGGTTCCTCTACAAGGACACCTTGAATGGTCGAGATCTGTTGACGGAAGATCAGAAAAACCAATTTAGCACCCATGTTTCGGACATGGTGCAATCTACAGCGGAAGACGACTTCTTGACCGGCCATCTCCTCGGTGACGGTGCTTAGGTCAAGACGATTTTGAGTGTGACTAGTCGTGGATTGCATCAACGGAAGATCGCCATATCGAGCTTTCATATCATCCGTCTCGGTTTTGGCGGCGTCTTCCAGCCTTTTCTTGATACGCTCCTCAGAATCGTCTCGATGGTCCAGGCTCAGTTTAGAGCGGTGTTCATGTTTTCTTTGTTTTGCCAGGATTCTCTTCTGCGCATTCTTACTCAAGCCATCGCTGTCAAAGTCGCTCATCTCGGACTCATTGTCACTGGAGGTGTAGTCCGATCGATCCCCCAGATGTAGGAATTGGGCGAGGGAACGACGGTGAGGCCCGGGACTCTGAGAAGAAATGGGAGAGATGTGACCCTCGGATTTGTCCTTTGGGGTCTCGCTTCCATTAGGATGGACGTGTTTGGAGAGTTTGCGAAGGACAGACATGATGGTGGTCGGTGGGATGGGATATCCTGCTGCCTGATAACGGGACGGCTCTGCGGATGCACTTCAACCGTCTGCACAGACGAAGCTGGATTTGACGTGAGAAATTCTCGAATAAACTGGTCCGAACCGGCGTTTGAAGAGGAGGCTCTTAAAACGGGGTCTTGATATGTTGACTCTGAGTGAGGACTCTTGGGACTGCGCCCGATGAACGGGCTTTGCCGCTGGACGCACACCACTCGAAGCTGCGCGTACAGCAGTCAATTGAGTGAGGGCGAGACTGCGATGATATGTGATTTTATTGCGGATCGTATTTTTCCGTCAGTGCTCAGTCAGCTGGGTGTTACCGATTTGTTGTTTCCCGCCAAAAAGGAAGGGTGGCTTGCGGCGGGAGGGGCAGCGGAAGGGAGAGATGCTGGAAGGAGGGGAAAAAAGAAGTGGAAGAAATGCGATAAGATTGGATTGGTAGGAGTCTGGTCGCCAGTTGCTGGAAAGGTCTTGGGCACTACTTGGTGAGCTGCAGTGACAAGCACACAATAGGAAAGCTTGCAAGCAATTAGCAGCAGCACGCAAGGAGCATGGACTGGCGAAGGAGATCAGGAGAGGCAGGAAGAGATCGCAACAATATGAGCGGCAGGGCCGGAAGCAGGACCGGAACCTTGATGGACGGCAGTCAAAAGGGTTCACCGGAGAGGGCGGGGCCAATAAATGCGTCAGAGGCTTTTGGTCCCTCTACTCGTACAAGTAGTACAAGTAGGTTTCTCCTCCTGCGGTTTTCGAGTGGATTAATGAATTAATACCATCCACTAGTTTTGGCCTTTGCTCTCCTGTCACTGAGGAGGCCATGCAGGCTTAACAAAGCTGTATCAGCTGTAGCAATGATGAGTAAGGCGGGGTTGCCAGACACCCAATCATTGCACGTGCTGCCGGTGGGCAAAGTTCGTTGTTGACCACGCCGTTTTCTGCATTCGGGTTTTGCTGAGGTCACCATGTTTGGCATACCAATGACTGAGTGGCATCATTTGTTTGTGCTGCAAGTTCTGGACGAGGCCAACAAGGCCCAACTGAGATCTCAGGCTTTCAGGCGACAACAAGACACGACGACTCTGACGACTTCTGACAACCCTGACTGTTCCGAGCCGGATCACGTGATGACGTTCCTGGCACCCGCTTCTTGCTTCCCTTTGCGGTTACTGAAATGCACCTACTTGTACGAGTACGAACCTGAGCTTGTCTAGCACTGAGAAGAGGGGTAGCAGCGAAGAGAAAGAGGATGAACACTAAGGTGAAGGGAAGATGGCTATACTTGTATGCGTTTTACAGAGAGAACACCTGGGCTGCTCGGAAATCGCACCCCATATGGAAAGAAATTGCACAGATGAGACAACACGAGGAGTTGGTTGGCCTCGAGACCCTGATGGGCCCCTTTGTTGGCTGATCTGCTCGCAAGCCTTACTCTACTTGCTGACTTCTTGCGCACAAGGCCCCCCCAGTGAGGTGGCCAGACGGTCGCCCGGAAACCACTGTTTGAGGGCCCATTCGAAGAAAAGGGGTAGCATATCATATCCATACCACACATGTCGAAAACAAGTATTATGATACGAAGCATCCACTACTCGTACACCTGGTCGTTCCAATAATGCTGACCGGGGGTCGACGGAAGGGTGAGATGCACCAGATCCTCGTAGGTCCAGCCTTGTCGGACATAAAGGGGTCAAGTCGGTGAAACCCTGTTGCGCAGTCTGGTCGTCATGGAGACTGGATATCGATAGTACAAGTGTCTCAACCACGGAAGTCGTGTAGCAAACATTACGAATGAAAGTCATCATAGTGGTCGTCCCTCTCTATCTTATGTGGTTTCGGAGGGATTCTAGAAATTTGTCTTGAGGCAATTTTTTGGTCAGAGGAAGGTAAAGTGTTATAGATCGACGCGTAAACGGCTTCTTGGGGGAGCATTGGGCGGCTTCATTATTCGCCTGGAAGTTTCCCGGGTACCCCTCCTCCAAGGGTGTTGCAGGCTCTTGATTCGACACCCAACCACCCACGAGTCTCCTGTCTGGACCGAGTAATCACCCAAGGGCTTCCAAACGAGCATGCGACCACCTAAACCACCTAGACGTTTTGGGGTTTCAGACTTCTGTAACAAGCTGAGCCCGGGCCATAGCCACAATGACACCACGCGTCATGATAGACCCCCCGATAAGCAGATTGGCCCGTGGACCTGGAATGAAACCTTCTGGATTAGCATTTTGATCATCCCTCTATCATACAATACGACTAAGTCTCTTTCGCAACGGCCTTGCCACGATTTGATCGCATCTACACCCTGAATCAGCCATTTACAAGCACACTTCGCAAGTCAAAAGCCGTTCAGGTCACCGGCCCAACATTACTGCGCCTACGCCGTATTCGTCCTTCTTACGAGTCCCTGCTCTTTCTTATTCCGCCTGCATCACTGATGAGCCCTTTTTGGACTTGATCCCGGCCAATATTTGATAAGAGCAGGATCTGGAATTGCAAACTCGTCACTTCTGTGCTTTACCCTACATCTGTGCCCTCCCCAACCTTTCAATGCTCTTGGTCTACGATCAGACTGTTCCGCGCTCACCTCGCCAGCATGCCTCGGACACCCTCGCCCTCCTACCGCAATACGACGCCACCCGTTGAAGAGATCCCAATGCAAGAAACCAAGCCTCAAACCGAGTCTGGGCCCGAGCCCGACCTTCCAACGCTCAACACTGATACCCAGGACTTTGCTTCGCCTAAGAGTCATGCTATCACCTTCACCGACGCCGATGGAATCGAACGTGGCCAGACCCTCGAGCCTCCCGGGCACATGCTCAGCGAAGTGTTCTCGAATACGTTTTCCACTGAAGAGGAGGAGCGTCAGTTTTCCATGAGACCTCGATCAATGTCTCACCATCTGTCTGCGAAGGATATTCCATCTAGGAAATGGTTGACAATCAAGGCAAAGTGGTGGAGAGCTCTGGAAATGCTAGGCATGTGCTTCCACAGCTGGGCCTGGCCTCGTCCTGCAAAGCCGGCCTTCAAATGGGGGATCGAGACAGAGACCGAGCCGATCGAGCTATATTTCTACCTTCCTCCGATATACAACGAGGCCTTGCAAAGGGATCCCTTGCATCGCTTTCCGGCGGTTGTCAACTTTCATGGCGGTGGGTTTTGCTTGGGTGATGCACAAGATGACCAGTATTGGGCTCGGGTTGTTCTTCAGCATACAAACTGTATTTTCGTCAGCGTCAACTATAGGCGTGCTCCCGAGCACCCTTTTCCTACGCCTGTCGATGATTGTGTCGAAGCACTTGTCTTCATCGCCGAAAATGCGGATGAACTGCATATAGATCAAACCAACATCGCGCTGTCCGGGTTTTCAGCAGGCGCGAACTTGGCCTTCTCGGCGCCTCTGCGTCTGGCATTTCATCGAAAGATGAACGCGTTGGAGAAGTTTCGATCCAGGCCCTTCACCTCGCAGAGTGCCGATACTACCGACACTTATGGTTCTTATATGACCGAGCCCGATGATCATCACGAATTTCACAACTTCCTCACGCCGGTACCCTCGGGCTCTGCCCTGTCGACTTCGAATCTAGTGAGACCGAGGACGGGAACTCCGCTGCAAATTCGTTCTGTTGTCGCTTGGTATCCACTGCTGGATTGGACAATGTCCCGGTCACGCAAGATCAGGGAGTCTCGCAATCCCAAGAAATGTCTTTCCAAGACCTTCACCGACCTGTTCGACTTCTCTTACCTCCCTGCGCCGGACCTTCACGGCGACCACTGCAGCCCGTACGCGTCTCCGGCACTGGCACCCGACGAAATGATCCGTGAAGGCTTGCCACGCGATATTCAGTTGTGGCTTTGTGAGTGGGACATGCTCCTCCGTGAAGGTCAATTATTTGCCGAGCGACTGGACAATCTGGGCAAACGCATCGACCACAAGACAATTCCTCGCGTACCTCATGCTTGGGACAAGTCTCCAAACCCGTTCCGCGACCAGAAGGCCATTGACGTCCTGTACACGAAAGCCGCCATCGGTTTAAACAGAGTGTTCCAGGACAGAGATGGAGTCGGTCCTTTCAGCTCGATGAGCTCGCTTCACCCCGACGATCCTATCATCCAAAGACAACCTAGGAGGAGTGTCGTTATGCCGCTGTAATCTGATATGGACAGATTCCGCAAGAAGGATCTATATATACGAACGAGCCCACTGTGGCGATCGACAAATGCCTCTCGGTCTATTTAAGGAGCCGAGGCGGGTTACAAAAGAACGGAGCGGCCACAATGCTTGTTCTCCGAACCTCGTGGCCCCGATTTGGTGGTCAGCATTACTCGGATCCCCGGAGATGTTATGCGTGATTGCTCATCGAATATCGCCAGCAACTCGTATACATCTCACGTACGAATCCTCGAGGATTTGGATACAAGACACTCATCCATAAATCTTGCTCACTGGTCTACAACCGGTATCCACCTATTGCCACATGAGCAACCTGAACCGTTTAGGGGCTAAATATGGTCGATATCACAGTCCTGGTATCTGATGGTCTTTTGAACCACCATACCTCATCTCCGTCACGCACATACCAATACTCCAGCATATTGTCGTTACTGTCAGCGTTCTAGCGTTGGTGTCAGGTGCTACGACGGTAGCCAATTGTTCATTACGATGATTTACATCTTTCTTCCTTGGGCGTCATGAGATGGATTATGGCCAACCCTTCTTTGCGGTTTTCTTTTCTTTCGTCCACATACAACATGCTGCATCCTGGGTTGGGACACATGAGCCCTGCGCGGGTGGACAGCATGGTGCATATTGCCGTGGACGCCTACAGGCGCCTGCATACATCGAGTAAAATGGGTTATGAGGGATGATCTGCATACAGACATGACTGGAATGGGAAAGTATTCAATGAGCGGGGAAAGAAAAGAAAGCACAGTTCTACGTGGGAGTTTGATTAGATACATGAGAAGAAAAGAATCAATTTTCATTGCCCCAACAGCAAACTTGGCCCATTGCCGACGACGAGCCGTTGTCTTCAATCAATCAATCAGTCAATCAGCCCCTGTGATCCTTTCTCTCGCTTTCTCTCTTCCCCCCATCTCCTCAGGGTCGATCCAACTGTACTTCCTCTCCTAAACCACGCTCGTCCCTGTTTCTTGTGACGAGACTACTCGATCACGCTGCTGGGCTGGACAGTTCACCTCTCCACGGAAGCACATGTCCTGCAAGAGTCTCACCCTGCTCCCTGCTCAGCAGCAGTCCATGATGCCCTCATGGACCTGATTGAATAACATGCAATGTGTCATCGTAGAATCACTCGTCTTGGGAGGTTTCCACAGTGTTCTCAGACACGGCCATGTATGAAAAGGTAAAGAATCGAGACACTGTCCACGAGATTTGTATTATTACATTATCAACACTAGCATACTGAGTGCTATGACATGTTCAGCGCATTTTCCCTCGGAAAGCTCTATCATACAATGTTTTCAGTGTGTCGGTTGTTCTCGGTGACAACTCCATCTTGTCTGTCACTCCATTTTCAATCCATCTTTCGTTCCTTCATGTCTTTGACTAGTGCGGCTATGACCCCAGTCCACTTTGCATCTCTTGATCATGCTCACCGCAGTCCGATACCTGTAGCTAGTACCGCTTGAAAAGTCCATGACGTGGTGCGGGAGTGGTGATAGCAGGATAAAATGGCACAGCGTTGGGCCCTCGTGGTGTACGCGCAGCAAGCAAGGTGCCATTGGATTCTGCGGTAGGGGTGTCAGATGCCGCACCAGTTCCTGTGGGTGTGGTTTCGGTCCAGTTGGTTTGAGTATTGATGGTGATTGACCAGTCACTGCCAATTGTGCCAGTATAAGAGACAGGTGGTCCTATGGTAGTTCTGTTATTGACTCCAGTCCCACTGTTGACTCCAGTCCCGCTATTGACTCCAGTCCCACTGGGGGTGTCGGATCCTGTGATGGTCGTATTGGAGGCCCAGGAAGTTGGAGTGCCCCACGTGGTCATGTTGTTTGAGACATATGGAATGATGGGTGTTGGTCCATACCAGAGTGGTGTAGTTGGCGTGGGAGTGGGAAAACTGCTGCAGACAAGGTCATGATACATTTGAGTGTTGATACCCAAGGAAGAGCCTGTCCGATTGAAAAGACTGAGAGTGTCACAGATTTGACCCCGGTCCGTGGTGATATCAGCAGCCGCCAGAATGCCAATGAGAGCAGCGTAGAGGTTGGCGTACAGCTGTTGACGGGTGGTCCCAAAGTCGTAGCCGTAGGATGCGCAGAAGCAGACAATCGACTTGACATTGTCGGGGGCATACCATGACTGGTATAGCTGGTATGCAACCTGATCGGTTTTCAACTGTTCACAAGCCGAATGGAGGTCCATGCCAGAGTCACAAATGCTCAGCGCAAACATAGCAGATGCAATGTCGGTGAACTCGTCCCTTAACCCACCAGAGAGCAGGGAGACATCAGGAGGAAGAGCATTGGCGAAGCTACTTGCCAGATCCGCAAGGGCTGCTTCTGTGGCTTGGTCCGAACGACGGTGAATGTGTGACTTCTTGAGGTCTTCCATTTGGTTCCAGCTGGCAGTCTGAGGAGAAGTTGCAGCAATGTTGTTGTGAGCCGCATGGTGCATTCTGGTGCTGGCAGTGCCTTCAGGGATACATTGAATCTCAGTGACCGTGAGCATTGAGCTGGTTGATCGAGTACTGAAGGGCCCCTGCAAAAGTCAGCATGAGTATCATAGATCTGGGGCTGCTAAGACTCACTTGAATGTCGACGCTTGGAATATTTGTGACAGAACAGACATTGCAATCCACGGCCTGCTCTGGTCAGTTCTTTCTGTCCTTAATTCAGTGGTAGAGAGGTGACTCACGTATCGGAAGGTGGTCATGATTGCCTGGTAGACTGTGCTGGTGGGACCAATTTGAGGAGGTTGAGAAGCAATGTAGGTCAGAGTGCAATTGGGGGAATGGCCCGCTGACTGCGAGGACGACAGAGCAACCATGTTTGTGAGACCAGGCAGGGCCATGGCCAGGAGGACAACGGCGTACAGCCACATGGTGAAATGGAATGGGAAATTGGAAAGACAGAGCACAGTGAGAGTAAACTGGGTTGGAATTGGAATAAGATGAAGCACAAAGCAAGATGATTGCTGCCGGCGGGTTGAGAGAGAGGAGATGGAGAAGCGGAAGAGTGAAGGTGAAGCTCGTGTGAGAAAGAAAGGGATGTAGAGATTTGGGAGAAAATGAAGCGTTGAAACAGTTGAGACCGCAGTTTGGTTGTAGAGAAGGAGCCAGAAAGCAGACACGTCACTTCGCCAGTTGTTGAGGAAGCAGGAGCGCGTTGTCGCGTTGTCGAGGCTCAACAAATGCATCTGAGGAAGGTACGCACTGGACATGGACATTGAATTTGACACGATCTGTTCTCAACGGTCTTCGATCTGGTTCCAAGTTGTGTGCTGCTCCTGCCTCAGCCTGATGCCTCACCCGCACCATTCGTCCTGCGATTTTAGCTTACAAGCAAAGGATGAGGTGTTCATTCACAACATCAGAGAAAATGATATCCCAATGAAGCCACAATTAGAGCAGTACAGCCGACTCCTCATCTTCCATGCTCTTACCTTCGATAGCTGCTGCTTGTTCCATATTGCCTGTCACGACTCACTCACGCTGTACCCAGGAGGAGGGTGTTTGATCACCAGAAGTCTGGCAACCTCTCAATGTATCCCTCACTGGCCATACCCCCCATCAATCGTCCACGCCGATATCGTTGCCATAGCTCGAGTCTCTGGCCGTACATGGGTCTATACAAACACAGCTCACCTTGGCTTTTTTCCTGCTTAGATCAGACGAGTCACGTGACAACCTTCCTCTTTGGACTCGGTAGCAGGCCCAGGAACTGGGACTTGTTTTTATCGTCCACCTTAGCCGACACCAAAGAGTGTGTTGCATTTGACAAAAGTGCATCAGTCGATACTGAGAATCTGTCGGCAATTCTGCCCAACCCTCACTCAATTCGATTGACCCCGCGCTCGTCGCTCCCCGATAGAGCTCTTGAACACGGGCAAGTTGTGGACACGGTGATGCAAACCCCAAACTCTCTGCCACAAGGTGCTCCCTGTAGTCCGTTGATCCTTCACACCATCTGTCCCTTATCCTGCATGCATTTCATCACGCGAATGCAACCGAAGTGTTAGTCACAAAGATTGTTGGCAGTTCCTGGCCGTTCAACCCGTTTCCATGTGCCGTCAGGCGCATCCATTGTCTTGTCGGGTCTTCTCCGCTTGGGTTGTCGAGCACAAGCAATTGAGATGCGGGGTGGAAAATCTTACCACATTCAAACCCTTTCCTAATAACTCGGTGGCAAGCATTGCTGCTGCTAAACTCGAGGTGGTGGTGTGAAGAGTTCACGCCATCATTGTTGATACCCCTGCTCGCTTGCCGATGCCTACAACGTCTACGACGTCATTGCAGCTGTCGACGAAGGGCAACTGCGCCGATCGCTCTGTGGTAGAGAGTTCTTGATAACGAGAATTGCGCACTAGATACCTAGGTAGATCTGGTGACATTTTGGCCATGTAATTGATGGTAAGACGCAGTTGCCATTGTCTTGGTATTGCATTGTCGTGACCAACAATCGATGTGATGCACGTCGCTTTCCCTAAACAAGAACATCGGCTTGACTTGCCCCAGCCCCAGTAATCCTGCGTATTCCTGGCGCTGTTTCTCCAAGTGACAGTGTTCAAAATACCCCCAAAGTGTTTGTCAACTCCATTGTGAGAATGCGAAAACAAAGTTTCCTTTTTGCTTGCTGGGTGCGGGCATGTCCGGAGACGCCCGCTGGCAGAAGCGGTTGAGATTGCGGCGAGAGAATGGGATTTGGAGTCAAAAGGTTGTGGTGCAGGAGATGGGTTGGTTGGCCGTAGCATTTGGCACACCGGCGGTTGGCAATAATCGGAGACGTTTGCTGCTATGGTCCGCGGGAAAGTGCTCGCGCCCTGCGCTGCGCCAGGAGTTGAGAAACCCTCGAGTCTTGGTGAGGGCTTGCAGCCGTCTCAGGTCTCACGACAAGACCGACGCGCAGACAAATACCCAATATTGCGTTCCAGTTTGTGAGGCATTTGACCAAGGTCACAGCGTGTGTTGCGAATCCTACCCTTTCATTCAACCCAAGGCCTGCATCAGAATTCTTGAAAATGCCTCAAGATGTCAGTCCCGGTAGGGGGCGTTCGGGGGGCAAGGATGCCTATATGATCGCTTAGCCAGATACACCGGGGACTACGGCCGCGGCGGTCGGAAGCCTTGCCGGATGTCACACCCATCACAATTCTGAAACGCAGCGTCCACAGCACCCAATTTTCCCCCAGTGGGTGCCGAGTTACCACAATTATTTGTTGATTATCCGCATCCTTGGATGGCCGACTTTTTGCCAGTGTGATCGTATGTACTCGTAGGTACAAGAGGAGATCAAAAATGCCTCAGTCGTGCCCGGCACGGCCATGTTGTCGCGTCGGCGCAAAATGTGCACCGAGCTCTGTACTTATTATGATCAGCCTTTTGTCCCCCACAGCGCTATTGATGGGTACTCGTAGTTCTAGTGGGCTCCATCTGTACTCGGTACCTCGTAATGCTCCGTGGAAGTGAGTGAGGGAAATCTTGACAGACGATTTGGGTCGCTGTTGTATCCACTGAAACACGCGCCCCCGAGGCTCTGACAGGGACAAGCCGACAGGCGCGATTTGTAGACAGGCCAAACGAGGCCAGATACGGTACTTTGTCAAGTGTGATCACCGTGACAGCCGAGAGGACGTGTTGCAGGCTTGCAGCAGGGCTGGAAGAGGGTCGAGCTAATGATATTGGGGAGGCTCCGTTATTTGGGAGTTTGAGAAGTTGAACGTTGTGACTTGCAGGATCCTAGTGGGTGCAATTTCTGTGGTCATTTGCAGATGTTTACAATCATGGCCAAATATGTCGACAATCATTTTTTGAGGGGGTCCAGTGGATTGGCCGGTCCCGTTCACATGGGCAGAGCCTGATGGGCCGTGATAGGAGGAGGTCGGCATCCAATCTAGATGCCCGACTAGAGCCAAAACTGGCTCTGCAGCTGCAGCGCTTGTCCGTTCGGCTGGCGCCCGGAGTGGAAATTCATTACCTCCAAACCGTCAATCACAACTGTGGGCCTGGACTTTGTTTTGAATCTCGCAAAAGAAGCAAGCATCCCAGGGCAAAACGAACAGGCTTATTTTGGAATCTGGATCTTGTGCTTGTTTGAGCAAAACATACTAACGCTTGAACAGATGCGGCACGACGCGTAGACCAATACTGCTGTGAAAGCGATGAATAATCGCCGAGTTAGGCACGGCCGGATATCTGTGGAATGGAACAACATGGCTGCTACTTTGGGACGACAGGAAGCACGAGGAGCAAAATTCGATGACGGAAGGGTGATACCCCAATAACGTAGAAGGGCCCTGCGTTGGCTTTCCGCACAAAACGCCGAACCGCCCTGGGAGGGTAGAGGCACAAGAGGTGAGTGAGCGTCATGGGTCATTAAGTTCTGCCGCGAGCTGGGGGTGCCCATGTCGGAGAAAACCATTGAACTGGGGCCGATGTTTGTTATGCCCTGCCCAAAAAAATGTTCAATGGGTTTTCTTTGGCAGATTGACATTTGGCGGTACGCGGCGGTACCGTTTGAACGGCCGGAAATCAATTCAAATGACAACGACAGCGAGATCGATGCAGCTCGTAGCCGTTGCAAGCTAGATTGAGAGGCGGATCCACTAATCTGCAGCCGGCCAATGCCACAGCTTCCTACTGGACCGGTGACGGCCAAAAGAAAGGATGCGACGTAATGAAGTCAGCGTGGGCCACGACTCCACGAGGAGCCACCCGAGCCACTGAACTGGACCAGGCCATCTTTCCGCGGACTGAGGCATTCTTTTCTTCGTGGGTTGCGCTGGGAGGAGGGCAGGGAGAAACCGGGCAACTTACTACTAACTGGAAGATGGTAAGCGACCATGGTGACACCGGACCAAGTTTGAGGTCAAGCCACAATCAACTGCTGTTTTCAGTTGTTATGCCCCAGGATGGTTCCCAAGGATGGGTTGGGGAAGGATTCTTGTGCATGCAGTGGCAGCATCGTCGATGAGCTCGAGGTATGCTAGATGGCGAACTTTGCCTGCGAGATGCCATCATCCTCCCCAATTATCATTGTTTGGCGCTGCCGAAGGGTTCGCCAAATCTGACGATCAGCCTAAACAGCATTAACGGACTGACCATTGTTGGGAGTGAGAAGAAAGGGCTTAGAATCCTCATGGTGGATGATCTCAACCAGCGAGGAAGCGAGGGTCATCATAACGATTGAACGTGAGACAACATCACACTCACTCCCCTCGTACCTACGAGTAAGTATTGTATGAGTCTGTCCGCGTTGCTCAGGATGGATGAGGACTCGTAGGTACGAGCATTTTAGCCCCGAGTAGGATGGCAGAACTCGGTACTACTGTTAACCGCTGTTCCCCCGGCTCATTCAGCCTACGTACCGAGTACGTACATACTTTCTACTCGGTATGCTTTTGGATTACTCCATGCCTACAGACAACTGGTGAACGCGTCTACACACATCCTACTCTGTACAAGCTCAACGGGAATGAATAGAGCTGCAGCTTCTACCCCAGGGATCTGTGTGGGATCCAAATAATAACCCACTATCTCCGCCAGCAAGCAGGGAGCGAGATTGCAATCAGCTCAGGTAATCGTGCTGCTCAATTAGAGACGAGTCGCTCTGGTTCCTGACTCATGCTCATACATCTCTTGCCCAACAGATGGGGGATGTGTAATTCTGGGGCAGCGATTCGCCTATTACCTAGTTGAGATAACCAGCTGCCCAGCTGAATGGCTCGGAGTCAAAAAGTGCATACACTCTCAACGCAGCGCATGAATGGTGGAAGAATATGCGATGGAGGAAGAAGAAGAAACAACCCAACTACGGCTGGTGCCATGTTCCCTGCATGGCCCACGTCACTGGAGATTCTCATACATAAAGGTAAAGAATAATGGG